AAATATTTATAATATTAATTATTATTAAAAATATTTTAAGAATTATAATTAATAATTAGAATTATTATTATTTTTAATAACTATTTTATTTATTTTATTTTGTTTTTCGATTACAGTGGAGTTGAATAAATTGCAACGTGAAATTTTGTTCAAAAAAAAGAGAAAATACGTTTCAAGAGTTTTCCAATGATTCGGCAAGTGGACGTTTTTAGTGAATCAAGAGGCGGCAAGTGTAAAAATAGATGTTCATTAAATTTCTTCTCATTTTGAAGAGAAATTTGTTACACATGTAAGTAAAACATTGCTATATAAAATTATTTTAATTATCCAAAATTTTTATTTAAAAGAATTTTTATTCAAATTTTTTTTTTATTCATTTTAATATGTTTATATATGAAACTAAATTTTTTCATAACAAAATTTCTATTTAGAAAAAATTTTTTAATTACCAAATTTTCATTATACAGAATTTTTATTTCAACGAATTTTAATTTAGTGAAACTTCCACTGAGCCGAATTTTTAAATGAGGAGAATTTTCATTTAAATGATTTTTCACTTGTCCGAAATTTTTGATTTACAGAAAGGGACGCATGAATAAGCTCTAAAACAAATTTGTTAGAAGTTATATTTCATAGAATTTTAATCAGCAGAATATTAATTTGCCAGAAAGTTAATTTAATTGAATTTAAATTTGGCAGAAAATCAATTTGATCGAATTTTAATTTGACATAAAATCAATTTGATCGTAATTTAAATTTGCCAGAAATTAAATTTAACCGAGTTTAAATTTTCCCGAAACGTTGTTTTATAGAATATTAATAGTGCAAAAAAACAATTTGGACAGAAATCTACTTTACCAGAATGTATATGAATATTAATTTCCCAGAAAGTTAATTTGACCGAAAATTAATTTGGCAGAAATCTAATTTCATCGAATTTTAATTTGCCAGAAAGTCAGTTTAATTGAATTTTAATTTGTCAGAAAATCAATTTGATCGAAATTTAATTTGTGCAAAACGTTTTTTCATAAAATTTTAATTTAGCAGAAATGTAATTTAATAGAATCCCAATATAGCAGAATCAAAATTTGACAGAAATTTACCTTACCAGACAGTATATATTTGTTCGAACATTAATTTGCCAGAAACTCAATTTCACCGAAAATTAATTTGACCGAAATATTTGGCCGCGAATTTTAAAATTAATCAATAGGAAATTATCAAGAAAATTGTGATTGGTTAATTTTAAAATTCGCGCCGAAACATTTCGGTCAAATTAATTTTCGGTGAAATTGAGTTTCTGGCAAATTAATGTTCGAACAAATATACTTTCTGGTAAAGTAGATTTCTGTCAAATTGTTTTTCTGCTTTATTGGGATTCTATTAAATTACATTTCTGCTAAATTAAAATTTTATGAAAAAACGTTTTGCACAAATTAAATTTCGATCAAATTGATTTTCTGCCAAATTAAAATTCAATTAAATTGACTTTCTGGCAAATTAAAATTCGATCAAATTGGAATTCTGCCAAATTAATTTTCGGTCAAATTAACTTTCTGGGAAATTAATATTCAAACAAATATACATTCTGGTAAAGTAGATTTCTGTCAAATTGTTTTTCTGCACTATTAATATTCTATAAAACAACGTTTCGGGAAATTTTAAATTCGGTCAAATTTAATTTCTGGCAAATTAAAATTCGATCAAATTGATTTTCTGCCAAATTAAAATTCAATTAAATTGACTTTCTGGCAAATTAATATTCTGCTGATTAAAATTCTATGAAATATAACTTCTAACAAATTTATTTTAGAGCTTATTCATGCGTCCCTGCAGAAATTGAGCCGCTGGATTCTAGAAGGGCACGTAAATTTTTTCGGCCGGAAAACTTTAGTCCTCTGGACACTCAAAATTCATTTTTCGAATTTTAATATTTTTCGAGCATATTCTTATACAGAATTCGATTGCGCATCTTTTTTTCTTAATAAAAAACTTTCCATCATTTTCCGGTTTCGAAATATAAGAGAAAAACTGGTTTTTTGGAAACGTAAAATTTAATTGTTTTTTTTTTTGACTTCAACTCGCTCTAGCTCAGTCAATTTTATAAAGTTTTTTATTAACCCCTTGACAGTCCAGGGCCCATATGTGGCCAGAAAAAGTCGTGCCACCTTTGTGCAAGTGGCCATATATGGCCATCGCAAAAAAAAAATACTAAATTTAATTTGATTCGCCTGAAATTTGTTACTCGGGGGTTTTTGGGGTCGCTGAATCCAAATTTGAAGTCAGATTTCAAAAAAACAAAATGGCGGACCCAAAATGGCGACCATGAAAACTTAAAATTTATCAGATTTACATGAAACTCGTTGCTCAGGGGTTTTCGGGGTCTCTGATTACGAATCTGAGGTCGGTTTTTCAAAATTCAAAATGGCGGATCCAATATGGCGGATAATTTAAAAATTAATGCGTTTTGACCACAAATTGTTACTCGGGGGTTTTCGTAGTCGCTGAATTCGAATTTGAGGTCAGTTTTTCAAAATTCAAAATGGCGGATCCAAAATGGCGGACAAATTTTTAAAAAATCAATCCGATTTGTCTGAATTTGTTTTGAAAAACTGACCTCAAATTCGAATTCAGCGACCACAAAAACCCCTGAGTAACAAATTTCAGGCAATTCGGTTTGATTTTTTAAAAATTTGTCCGCCATATTGGATCCGCCATTTTGAATTTCGAAAAACTGACCTCAAATTTGAATTTAGCGACCCCAAAAACCCCCGAGTAACAAATTTCAGGCAAATTGGATTGATTTTTTAAAAATTTGTCCGCCATATTGGATCCGCCATTTTGAATTTCGAAAAACTGACCTCAAATTTGAATTTAGCGACCCCAAAAACCTTAAATATGATGAAGTCATATTTTTTTGGAAACTTTTTTTTCGGACCGTTTTAGGCCCACCAGCGATTTTTAACTGGACTGCGAAGGGGTTAAGGAGGTTCATCCCTTCAAGCGGTACTCATTCTATTAGGGGTTTTCCGTAAGTTTAAAACCGACAGCTATAGTCCATAAAAGTTGAGCTCCACTGGCCAATTTAGAGGTTATGTTGCCGTTTCTCCTCTTCTTTCTTTTATTTACATGGGATAAGTTCAAAAGTTGCTAATTTTGATTAACATTTACTTCACAACCAAACGGTAAAAAAATTTCATATTTTTGTAAAAACTGTTAAAACTCATAATTTAAAACATATTAGTTTTTTAAAAAAATCTGTAGAACCGTTTTTTTTTAATTAATGAAAACATGGTCATTTTTCATGTTTTTTCACTGTTCCCATGTAAAACTTCAAACTTTATCAATTTTTATCTTGAAAATGATACGGTAAAATTCAATAAAATTTGAACAACAAATGTAAAGTGATGTCAATAATACATCTTAAAAATTTTTAAAAAATCTGTAGAAAATAGATTTTGGGATGAACCTCCTTAAGAAAAAAAGATGCGCAATCGAATTCAGTATAAGAATATGCTCGAAAAATGAATTTTGAGTGTCCAGAGGACTTCGTTTTCCGTTTAAAAGAATTGTTGAAACACCAAATTCTCATTTTGATTCATAGCTTTTTTCCTCTTTTCTCTAAATTCTAATTGTAAATTTTTTAGTGAAGAACGTGAAGGAAAAAATTGTTAGAAAATTTGAGGTTAGGAGTAAAATCACTGCTCCCGCGGTTTTCCTATCAATTTTCAAGTATTTTATAATAATTATAATATTAATTCTTAAAAAATATTACAATTTTTGCACATTAAATTGGACCTTTCTTATATTTTTTAGACTTCTTCACAAAATGTCAGTTGAATCTATTCATAGTATTTTACAAGAAAAGTGTTTGACAAATTAACATTGTATCGATCACGTGACCTATAAGTCACATGGTGTGAAATAATTATTCTACGGTGTAAATATGCAGTTTATTGAAAATTTTAGTTTACAAAATTTGTCCTTTCGTAAAAAAATTTATACCACTGGAAATTTTTAAACTAATCAGTTTAGATTTAGGAAATAATTAAGGGGGGTTATTCCTCAAATGTCCCAGTCAGAAATTAAAAGTTTTTAGATCGGCTTGATACTTTGGTAAATTGTTATGTCATATAATATTAAAATTTAAAAAAAAATCCCTAAAATATTTGAATTTATCATAATTTAACCCTTTAAAGCATGTATTTTTTAGAATTTTTTTCTGTATTGTCAGAAACTGTATGATTAAAAATAACATCATTTTAGAAAAATCCAAGTTTTTTTTTTGACAAATATTTTTTCCTGGAAATAAAGAATATTTATTGGCTAAAGACAATAAAGTTTGGAATCGGAAATTTTTTTTAATTAAAATAAAAAAAAATATCACAAAGATAAATCTTTAAAATAAGAAAAAAGTTCAATGCAAAAAATAAAAAATTCAAATTAATATACTGGCACCGCTGTGCTTTAAGGATTAAAAAAAAAAAATCAAACTCAAAAATAAATTTAAAAAAATTAAGAATGTACTGAAATTTAAAAAAATAGTCAATTGTTGTATTTAAATAAAATTAAAAATACCGTCAACCGAGGTAATTTTACCATCCATATATGGGCTTAAAATATTACTAAACATAACCTGAAATTTTTTGCAGCTAAGATCTCTTTCACCGTAAAGTGTCACATATAATGGCCATATATTTTTAACATATTTTTGTGTGAAAAAACTATATTATAATTTTACAAGAAGTGCAACATAACCTCAAAAATGTAACTCATTCATATTTTGATAATTAAAAAAAAAATGAATGACGTGTTAGGAAGTTTTTACTTTCACAATTAGACAACAATTTTTCAAAGTATCAAGTCAATTATCCCTCGTATCTCAGGTATACATATATACTATTGTTTCCTTCGCGCCAAAAGGCAAATGAACGAAACAAAGAAACACGTGTTTATAGACAACTCTATACCAAATAAATTCTCCTTTTATTTTGTTAGTATATTATAGTTCGGTTTCCGTCTCACAATCAGTCTCATTTACATTATTGCCGACGACAAATGTCGGCGTCAAACAAGAAACTAATAGTATTTTAACAAGTAGTTTTTAATTTTTATATTATGTAATTTATTTTTAATATAAGTATATAATAATGTCAATATAGTTTAGTGAAAAAATTAACGGAGTGTGAAACAAGAGTAGGTTGTAGGATGAATTTTTTTGACATCAATAATTCACGTTTTGCGGTGAGTAAAATAAGTTTTGTTTATTTAAAAATTTTTTTATTTTCGTCTATTTTTTAAAAAGGTGATATTTTATAATCTTTTCATTTTTTCTTTTAAAAATAGCGGGCAGAAGTATATTTTTTCTAAAATTTTTATTTTTTTCAAAATTTATTTAATAATATTTAAAGTGCGGTTAAAATTTGCTTTTTCGCCATTTAACCCTTCAATCGAGAGAATTACGAAGGGAACGTAAATGGCATTTCCGGGTTTACTGAATTGAGTTTCGAGTCCATGGGAAATTGCTTTTTCTTTCCTCTTCTTTAACGTCTGGGTTTGTTATGCACACACACATTAATGTCACTGATGAAGAAGCATTTGAAAGTTGTTGACCTTTTAATTGCTCACTGAAATTTTTTTTCTCCCCATTTATTATTATACATACATTTATTCATTCATTCAAGTATGTACGGATTTCTCAATTCTATTTATAATATTTTTCATCTTGTTTGCGGTCAAGCCCTTTGTTGTTGTATATATTGAAAAACAATAACAATAATAAACTATAAATGAAAATCAAAAATATTTTTGAAATATTTTTAAAATAAGGATTTTATGTCTTAATCTTTCAAAAATATGAATTTTGTTAAAAATTATTAATTGTTACAATTTTAAAAATTTTTACTTGATCAGTTTAGTGAAAAATTTTTTCTCTCCACTTATAATTGGATAAAAAACGAAGCTGAAGTACGCAACGTTTATGATAAACGATTTTTAAAGAAATAATTTTTTAAAATAAAAAATTCTATAATTTTTTGCCTAAAATATATTTTTTTATAATTTGTTGATTAATGAAAAATACAAAAAATATTTTTTACGCAAAAAATTATAGAGAATTTTTCATTTTAAAAAATTATTTTTTAAAAAATCGTTTATCATAAACGTTGCGTACTTCAGCTTCGTGATAAAAAATGAGTTGTAAATAAATATGTTTATATTTGGTAGAAATAAATTATTTTTTTGGGGGTCAAGTAAAATTAGTATATAGTAAGAAATAATTAATTATGACTGAAGAAATAGTTAAATGTAACTAATTAGTTAATTAAACTTTTTAGTGAAAATTTTATAGCTATTATTACATAACCTAAAAAAATACATTTTTCTATATATATAAATTATTATAATTTTTTGCCTGAAAAATTTTTTTGCAACGTTTTTTGATCAATAAATTTTTAAGGGGATGGACCGGTGAAATTTTGAATCAATATTGAATATTAAAATTATAATATAATAAAAAAAAAAGTAAAAAACAATTTGTTAATATTTTTTCAAATAAAACTTAAAATTCTCGAAAATTAAAAATTCTAACTTCTCTAACAGTTTTTCTTATTTTTCAATGCCAATTTTTTTTATAGGCTTTTTTCATGATTTTAAACAATCAATCGAATGGATTTTGAAAAATTTAAATTTTTTCAAAAAATGAAAATTTTAAGAAATAAAAAAAATTTTCTAAAATAGTTAATAACTATTTTATTTTTTATAGTAAAATGTGATTACAGGTCCTGAAAAAAGGAAAAAAAAATTGTTTACTCCTGAACAAGGTTAATTTTGATTGGTTTAAATTTTACTGTCAATTCTTTAAAAATTCAACTTCTTTCACAATTTTAATTATTTTTCATCGTCGAATTTTTTATATTCTTTTTTCATGATTTTGAAAAATCATATGAATTTAAAAAAAATTTTTTAATTTTTATAAAAAAACGAAGCTGAAGTACTCAACGTTTATGATAAACGATTTTTAAAGAAATAATTTTTTAAAATGAAAAATTCGATTAAAAAATATTTTTTTATAATTTGTTAATTAATGAAAACTACAAGAAATATTTTTTAGGCGAAAAATTATAGAATTTTTCATTTAAAAAAATTAATTCTTTAAAATCGTTTATCATAATTGTTGCGTACTTCAGCTTCGTCAAAAAATAAAAATTTCTCAAGTGGACAAATATATATTTTTTTTAATTTTAATAATAATTAGTAATATATAATAATTGTAGATCCTAAATAATGCCAGAAAAAAAAAATTTACATCCCTTGACAAACTTAATTTCCATAGGCTGAAATTTCACTGGTCCCTCCCCTTAAAATAGAAAAATTTATAAGCAAAAAATTTGATTATTTTCCGCGTGAAAAATGTTTATTTTTAATCGTTGATCATAAACAATATTTTCACCAATGTTTATTTTGAATCAGTGACTGTCTTTTGCTATCAAATTAATTATTTTTAATTTAGATTTAAATAATTGTCATCTATTTTCAAATATTTTCAACAAAACTTAAAATATTATTGTATAAATAAAAGAATTTTTTTTTTTTTTTAAATTCAATTTACTCTATTCTGATAATTGGAATATATTAAAATTTTTTGTAATTTACACATTATAGAAATAAATAAAATATAAATATAAAAAATAATATAAATAATAATAAATATAAAAAGTAATATAAATAATAATAAATATGTAAAAATAAATATATAAAAATAAATACATATAAATAAAAAATGCATAAAAATAAAAAAAATAATACATAAATGTAAGTTATTTTCAAAAGATAAAAAAAAAGAAAATAAAATTGCGTGTAATTTCGCGCAAGAGTAAACGAGTTAAATTAAAATTTTTTTTTTTTTAATAAGCGTGCGTATCATTGAAAATTATAAAAAAAAAAAAATCGGACGCCCGGCATCGGTGGGTCCACGACGCCGACGCCAGGATCGTCAACTCCGCCCCCGCATTGGTCGGCGGAACAACACTTGGATCAATACACCGCTCCCATTTACTGCGCGAAAGGCTTCCCTCAATAGTCAATTTCGCGTTTCATTATATTCACCAACAAACTCCAGTGCTTTCTGATGATTATACGTAAAATTCATATTTATAAAAACAATTCAAATCAGTGATTTTCAAAATTTTTTCAGAATGTTACACTACGAAGAAAATCAATCTCTAATGATGTGGATGATGATTCTCAACTGCCAGTAGAACCCACCCAATCAGAAATGGCTAAGGTGAGATAATAATTTATTTTCATTTATAAATAATTTTTTTTTTTTTAACTGTATTATAATTTTTTGTCAATTTTTTTTTTTCATTCAATTTTTGAGAAATGAAAAATTATCTCTTTTATTTGCAATTTATATCAAGTGCGAACGTCAAGGTAAAATTCTATAAAGACATTGAATCGTGTAGCCGCGCTCTCGAGGTTCGAGGACGTTTTATATGTTTATTTAATTTTTAATTGAATTTTTTATTCATTGGAAAATGTGCATGTTATAAACAAATATTGGTAGAAACTTTGTAGTTCTATATTTAATATATTTTTGTTTGGAAATTATATTTATTTATAATTTTATACTATACATATGGAATATTAAAAACAATTGTATATAATAATGAATAGAATGAATTTATTCATTGGTGCTACATATATTTATGTTTTACATCGAAAAGTGCAATTTTTATTAAATTTAATTATATCGATATAAATAATCTGAGTGAATAAATTTTATTTTTCGAATAATATAATAAATAATAATAATAATAATATAATAAATATTATTAAAATAAAAAAATAATTTTTCGATGAAAATTAAGAATTTTCTATTTGTTTTATATATTAAAGGTAAAATATTCTATATTAAATTAAAAATTCGGAAAATATCAATTGCATTTTGTTTATGAAAATGAACAATATCAGAGAAAAGTTTTATTTGAAACAAATATATAACATTTTTTTTGTATTGACACAATTTGTTTGTTATTTAAAACAAAATTTGTTTGATTCAAATAATAAATATTTATTTGGTCTAAATAAACGTTTAGTTTATTTTAATAAATTTTTCAAACGAAGAAATTATTTGATTGAACCAAATAAACTTTTACTTGATTCAATAATCAAATTGGGTTGTTGCAAACAAATTTATATTTATTATGATTATTTAAACGAAAAAATTTCTTCAAGAAATTTCTGGCCTAAAAAATATATATTTTTTATTTCACATAAAATATATTTTTAAAATTAAATTTAAATATTGTTTCTGTGCATATAAAAGTCGTTTTATATATATTATATTTTATTTCAATGTGAATATTCAATTTTAATATTTGAGTATATTAGAAAATTAGAAAACAACTCGAAATGAAAGCCTTTCACTAAGAAATGAATATTTAACTGAACTTCTTCAGAAAGTTTTTTTTTAAACAATATTTTATTCTTTAATGATTTCCTACTCGCACGTTTTGTTTTATGCACAAATTAATTAATTCTGACGTTTCGGTTCCATAAATGGTATTCTAAGTCTTTAAAATATTTAAAAAGTAATTTTTTATATAAAATTACATAATTTATTATATTTGTTATTTTTCTTTAAATATAAAATATTATTATTATTTTATGGTAAACGTTGAAAAAATGATTATATTTTTTAAATTTAAAATGGAGTAATTATTTTGAAAACAAATTTTAAACGAATAAAAATTCATATGTGAACGCGTTAGGTTATATGAAAAATAAAAAATTATTTTGTTAAAAAGTGTATTTTTGCTATAATTTAACTTGAAAGTTTAATGTGATAATTTTTTTATTTCTAAAATTTAATGACCTGTCTGCACGAAACATTGGTTAAAAACCACTTCAAGTCATTCATGCTTTTCTTCACTTTTAAAAAATAGAACTTTGTGCTAACATGACATTCGCACACATTTAAAACTTTATACACAAAAATACTGAGAAACATTTTTATATATGTATACAGTATATATAGCTAACAAGTGAATCGATCACCGAAGAAATTATATACATATGTTCTAAATTTAAGAATATATCTTGGCTCCTATATAATTAGGAATAAAATTATTTTTGCGTTTAATTCTTAAGGTTATATGAAATAGAATATTTATAAAATAAAAAGTATTGAAAAAAGGTTTTTCTTTGGCTCTTAAGGGCAGGACAAAGTTGTAAATTTGCCGCATGTAAAAATTGACGCGACTTTGACATCCCCTTAAGAATATTTCTTGGAAATGTTTCTAGGGCTCGGAGTGTATGATTTTTTTTTTTTATTTTCGTTATTTATTTTTCACACTATTTTTTTACTCAATATTTCATTAAAATTGAGAATTAAAAACTTTTTTTTGAATTCTTTTTTTAAATATCCACGAATTGACCTTAGCAAACAATTTTGTGAAACTGTTTGAAATTGAAAGTTTGATTTTATTTTAAAAATTTGACTAAATATTTGTATTAGAATATTTTTCATAAATCAGACTTGAGAAACTATTAAGAAAAAAGGAACTGAAAAATTGTTTTTAAATATGTTTTATTGGAATTCACACTTAAAAATAATTGTCATTTGATTGTTGTGATTTCACATGTAAATATTATCTGCAATTATTTTTCTCGCAAAATTTTGTGGAGAATTCAAAAAATAGTATAATGATTCCTTGTTATGTGTTACAGTTATATTAATATTTTATAAAAAAAAATTTATTTTCAAAAAATTGCATATATATTTAGGGAAAACTTAATATTACGGCAATTCGATTTTATAGTTATTTTCCTAAATAAGCAATTTTTTGAAAATAAATTTTTTTTTACAAAATATTAATAATATACTCTGGTACAAAACAACGAATCATTATAATATTTTTGAATTCCCCACAAAAGTTTAGCTCAATCCATTAAAATTTTGCGAAAAAAATTGCAGAGAATGTGAAATATGTGAAATCACAACAATCAAAAGACCTTAAAAATAATTTTTATTTAAGAAATAATAACAAAATACAAAAAATCATAAAATAATAATAAAATAATAATAATTCTTAAAGTAAAAATAAATTCAAAATTATTTTAAAAATGAGTGTCTAGTGCCAACTGGAAATGTTTAAAAATTGCCCAGAGGCATGAGAACTGAATCAAAATACATTAATATATAATATACATAAAAATATTTAGTAAAATGTTCGCGTTCTAAATTAATGAAAAAGTAGGGTAAGTGTACCAATTACGGCGCGTTTATTAAAAAAAAACTATTATTACTATTATATTTAATATAACTGTTGCAAAATGATTAAAAAAAATTATTTTAATTTTTCTTTGATACAAATTACTTATAAAGATGCAAATTCAAACAATTATTAATTTAATTATTCGAGATCAAATTTTTTCCCTCGCCGTAATTGAAACATTTTTAAGATATCAATAAATTGGCTTCAATTACGGCGGGCAAAGTATCTTTAAAATACACGTAATTTTCGTCACTGAAATTAATACACCGAAACTGATATAAACGCGCCGTAATAGAAAATTACGGTATTAGTTTTAATTTCTCATATTTGTTTAAAATAATCGATTTTTATAAAGTTTAATTTTTTTTAATATCTAAATAACATAATCTTTTAGTTTAATAAGTCTTAAATTGATTTTATACAATAGAAATGTCGAATTTTCTATTTCAAAGATATTTTGACTTGAATCGCGCCGTAATTAGTACATTTACCCTATTTGAGAATATTATTTTTTATTTATAAAAAAATAATTAATTGAATCGTAAATTTCAAAAAGGATTCAATTCCAAAAAGTGTAAGGGACATGTTTCAGATAGTGAAAATAAATTTAAAAGTACGGTTTTTCAAAGTGAACCCTTTCCAAAATTCACACTCTGAAAATTCAAAAAAATATTTTTTTTTTAGTTAAACCATATTACCTCTATGTTTAATTCAAACTTAGTGAATTGTTGCTATACAGTCAAACATATTTAAGTTTAATTCAATAATACATTTTTGTTGATAAAATATGTTTCATTTAAACATAAATTTTGTTTGATTAAAAGTTAGTCTATTCTTGTTATCAATTAAATATATTAAGTTTAAATGAAAAATAATTCTTTGGTTGATCTAGTGCATTATTTTATTTGTATTATATTGGGCACTTTGGATAAAAATACAGTAAATTTAATAAAATAAACTTTAACTTAAAATCATCTCCGAACGATACACAAAGAATAATTTTTTAGGTTATGAATCATGTCAAAATCGCAAAATCTTATTGACATCAAGAAGACTAGAACAAGGAGAGCAAAGTACAGTGGTGGGGATGGAAGAGATAGTGTGCCTAACAGTAGGCTGTCCAACGAAATTTTGATACATGACCGTGAGACGAATTTCAGTATCTGCGCATACTAACACATGCATATTTTTATATCGTTGATTTGTTTTCCTGTGTTTTGTTTTTGCGGTGTTTTTATTGGGATCTGAAATACTGCGATACGCCATCTGGTGAGAGCCTTGTTGTGGTGGCCATGTTTTCATTCCGTGTTTCTCTAACATACACAAAAGAAAGAGATAAAAAACCAAGATGGTTGTCACAAGAAGGCTCAGGGGTGGGTCAGTTTCGCATGATTTCTGATCCCAATATTCAGTATTTTTAATCAAAGTGAGAAATTTTTAATTAATAGTGTAAATTTTTTAAAGTGAACAACGGGGCGAATTTGTTGTGTTAAGAACTGCAGGAGCAGTTCTTCATGTGCAAGTGAAAATAGTGAAAATAACAATAAGAAACAGATGTTTTCTTTTCCAAAAAATGAGGTTAGTTTTTTTAATTTATTAAAATATAAATATGTTTTCACTGCAGAAAAGGGAATAAATATTTTATTTCGAATATATTAAGATTGTTTATAATTATCTGTGATTTAATTTTATTTAGTATGTAAATCAGAAATATTAAAGGTTTTTAGGTTAGAATTGAACATATCTGTATATATTTATGTATGCGCAGATACTAAAATTCGTCTCACGATTATGTATCAAAATTTCGTTGGACAGCCTACCGCAGTGCCAATATCTGCTCCCCCTATACACTGTACAATTTGAGCTTAGTTCACTCTCCTTGTTCTAGTCTTCTTGATTGACAATAAACACAAGAAATATAAAATAATCAGTGGAACATCCGAATTGTGACACTTTGCAGGTAATGGTAGCTTTTTTTGATACATGGCGGCGGGGAAATAGAATA